CCCCAAAACCCCAAAACCCCAAAACCCCAATATGCAAAAAATGAGCTATTAATAGTCAACTTTTAAATTAGATATAAAGAATTAATGGAATAAAATAATTTTCTAATTTGCTAATAATGCAACAAATATTTTAACAATGATGATAGAAAGCCGATTGAAAAAATAGACGGAAATATTCAATGCTTGATGTGCAATAAAAAAGAGAGAGAAGATACTGCAAGAGAAGAAATGAATTTACCCAATGAAATAACCTATAAAATAGCCTAATACTTAATTAGATAGCTTGAGAAACATGATATGCTTTGCATCAAATGTGATCAGCACAATAATTACAATGCTAAAAGCTATTGCAAAGCAGAAGATACTATAATTTGCGGTGAATGTAGCTTGTACTATAAAAATCATCATCATTGCGGAAGCGATGAAAATCTAAAGCATATCATAATCGAGAGGGTATTCTTTGAAGAAGTATTCTAGAAATAGCTTATACTACTAGAATCAGAGCAACAAAAAATTAAAAATTTAATAGAATTGTTCAAAGGATATATAAGCAAGGAAAGAGATTACAAAGTTCAAGAAATAAAAGAAATGCTATCTAATAATAGTTAGATCCTCTAATATGCTTCTGATAATCAAGAAATAAGAGACAAATTTGCTGAAGACTCAACCATCTTGAACTATTTAACTACATTTTCGTAAATTAATTTTCATATTTACAGTACTTAATAGTGAAAGGTTTAGGCTGAAATTGGAGGAAGAGGAATAATAAAATAAAATCAAAGAGCAATAATTAATAGATGCAATCCCTACTCAAATTTCAAAAGAATTTCATGAAAATTACTTGAAATTTAGAAGAATGGTTGATGAACAAGTTGATAATTTAAATAATAAGTGTCATAATAACAATCTTCTAACTAAAATGTTTTCTCGCAAACAGAAAGGTGTATAGTTAATTTATAAAGGCACAAGAGATGGATTCAGATCAACAAACTTTCATTCTCATTGCGATTCTAAGGGACCAACTGTATCATTCATTCTAAGTCACAAAGGAGAGGTGTTTGGAGGGTATACATTTGTTTCATGGAACTCTGATAAAAAATATTTAAGTGACAGTAAAGCCTTTTTATTTTCTTTGACGAAAAAGACCTTGCAACTCTAACACCAACCTTTTGATAGTAAGGCTGTCTATCATAACGAGAAACATTTAATGACTTTTGGTTATGGCTTTGACCTTTGTGTACAAGATTAGTGCGATAGTAATAAAGACAGCTACTGCAACTTAGGATAAACTTATTAAGCACCAAAGAACTATAAATTCAAGGATTCATTTTCATAGATCTATTTGGCAGGCAAGTTAAAATTCTAAGTTAAAGAAATTGAGGTATATTCATTGGAACTTTGATATTTCATTTATTATATTTTCAATATGATTAAATAAACTATTTTGCTCCCAAAAAAAATCTATATAATCTGTGAGGGGTTTTGGGGTTTTGGGG